GATGGTCAACTTCTCAAAATCATTCTATATACAACTATATTATTATTGCTACCGATCGTAAAGAATATCTTGTTGCATTAAAAGATTATTCAGCTGAATCATATACTGGAGAATTTTTAGCATCTGAAATAAGTACAATAATTTCAACTATTGGACTTGAAAAATTTGTCGCGATCGTTACTGATAGTGCTGCCAATTGTCGTGTTGCACAGGAAATTATTAGTCAAGATTATTCACATATTTTAAATATGTGGTGTATTACATATGCAATTAATTTAATTGCTAAAGATTTTGCTAAAATATCAACAATTACAACATTAATTGAAACATGTAGAAAGATTACTGGATTTTTTAATAATTCATACTTACCGAAACGTTTACTCGAGCAAGGAATTAATGATATGAAAATTAAAGGAGGTGGATTATATTCTTATGTCAAAACGAGATGGGGTTCATTATGGAATACTGTCGATTCTATATTATGTATTCGGCCAGTTTTTGAATGGGTAAAAATTAATTTTTAAATTAATTTTTTTTGATTTAATCTAATTAATTATTAAAATTTATTTTTTTAGATTTGGCGTGATCATAATAGCTGTTTATCTAATAAATCTGTAAAAGATGCTATTATTAATGATGAATTTTATATGACTTGTCGTATAACAAGTCAGATTATACAACCTATAAAAAGTTGTATTAATCAATTAGAAGCATGTACTGCTACTTTAGCCGATTGTTTTATTTGTATGCTCAAATTAGCTGCTGCGATTAATTGTCTTTCCAATACCAATCCAATGAAATTACAAATTATACAAATTTATAATATTCGGTATCAAGAATTTGATTATGAAGCATATCTTCTTTCTTATTATTTACATCCGTTATATAGAGGTAAGTATAATTTGAAACAAAATTAAAAATATTATAATTCTAATATTTTTTAGTATTTTTAGGATATGGTCTTAAAGATAAAATGTTTCAGGTGGCTTGTATTACAGCAGGAAATTATTGGAAAGCTCTAGGTCACGATCAAGCAGAATGTAATGATTTACTTAGAGAATTTCGAAAATATAAACGAAGAGAAGATCCTTATGATATGGAATATGATCCTTCAAACGAATTTCCATTAGCTTGGTGGCTGACTTTTAATGACAAATCTAATATAGAAGAATTGGCAGTTAAGATGTTTTCTATTGTACCATCGCAAGTTTCATGTGAAAGAAATTTTTCAATACTCAAATGGTTTTATAGTGACCGTCGAAATAGATTAAATATTAAACATATTGAATCTATGGCAAAATTAAGATCTTTTTGGCTTTTAAATATTCGTAATGAATTAACTTTTTACGGAAAAAACTTATCAGAACAAGATCTTCGAAATTATGCAAATACTTCAATTATACAACAATTTTCATCGTCTCAAGATTCATATTATAATGAAGAATCTGTAATTTCACAATCAACTGAATTATCAACAAATCAACTATTATCAAATCAATTGGAAATTGCAAATATTGTTAATCTTTCTTTATTATTTTTTGAATCTGATGAACTTAAAGAACCTAATTGGAATAAATGTCAAACACAATTAAGAGAAATTCAAAGAGAAGGAAGTGGAATAATGGATTTTGAAATAATTGATTTAACGAAACAAATTTTAGATGAAGAAATTACTTTTGAATAATTTTAGAACGAAATTATATTTAGATTCAAATTTTATTTTTTGATAGTATAATTATGAAATTTTATTTGTTATATAATGTTAATTGATCTTGTAATTTTTTTTTATTTAAAAAAATAAAAATCTATCTAAAAAAATAAATTTTAATAATTAGTTAGATTAAATCAAAAAAAAATTAATTTAAAAATTAATTTTTACCCATTCAAAAACTGGCCGAATACGTAATATAGAATCGACAGTATTCCATAATGAATCCCATCTCATTTCGACATAAGAATATAATCCGGCTCCTTTAATTTTCATATCATTAATTCCTTGCTCGAGTAAATGTTTTGGTAAGTGTGAATTATTAAAAAATTCAGTAATCTTTCTACATGTTTCAATTAATGTTATAATTGTTGATATTTTAGCAAAATCTTTAGCAATTAAATTAATTGTATGTGTAATACACCGCATATTTAAAATATGTGGATAATCTTGACTAATAATTTCCCGTGCAACACAACAATTGGCAGCACCATCAGTAATAATCGCGACAAATTTTTCAAGTCCAATAGTTGTAATTATTGTACTTATTTCAGATGCTAAAAATTCTCCAGTATGTGATTCAGCTAAATAATCTTTTAATGCAACAAGATATTCTTTATGATCGGTAGTAGTAATAATATAGTTGTATATAGAATGGTTTTGAGGAGTTGACCATT